ATTTAAGTAAGTTTCCACTGGAAGTTTATTTTTCTTTATAAAATCCGGATAAGACCTGTACGCCACATCCATTTCCTTAATTAAGTCTTCTTGTTTATAATCCATTAGTGGTGCCAAGGCAACCGCCAAGAGTTCCTTTAAGTCCTCATTCTTATCTTCAGGTATCCCATGGAAACGTAGAACATACATGGATCTTTCCAGCTGGAGCTGTATTAGTTGAGTTTTATCCAAGGATCTCTCCTTCTCCTCTTCATCCACTCTTTTATTAATACTCTCAGTCTGTTTTTCCATCTTTTTCAACGTTTTCTCAGTTGCTGAGGTTCTCTTATCCATCTGCTTTAGTTGTTTTTGCACATTATCTAGCTTGGTGTTGAGAGTAGTCATCTGATCCATTAGAGGGCGCAGTGCATTTGCTAACAACGAAGAGAAGTCTGTAGATGCTTCCTGGTTCTGGGAGGGAGTCGTTGGTATGTTATTTTCAGTCACCAGTTTTTTCTCCGGCGCTCTCTGTCCTCTCCCAGCCTTAATATCAACAAGAAGTAAGTTTTCCAAAACAAAGCAAAAGTTATACGTTTTAAATCCGCTTCGTATATTTTAGCAGCTTTTGCGTTCGCTTAACTTCTTATGCACTTGGTTTGGCTTAAAGTCTCTTTATTTTCACTTTAAAACCATTTTTTATAGTTTACTCCGGGGGGGGGCTTGAAATCTTCTCCCCACGTGCTTCAAACTTAGGCACTTCCAATTACTACCAAGGCTCCATTCACTTATTTTTCACCTGAGCTTTGCTTAATTCACAGTTTGTAGCCTTGGAGGTCTTTTGGAACATGAAAGCTTATACCCAGAATTAAACATTGATGCATTGATGCTCTTAAAGGTGCCACTGGACTCAAACTTTTCTCATAATACATGTGATAGTAGTTAGGGGGATCCAGAGGTAGCCCCTTTCTATCCCTCCTACGTACCTTCGGGACCGTCTCTCCCGATATGTCCCTCGAAGGGCATTGAGATCAGCAGATCCTGGTGATTCCCGGCCCCAAAGATATCCGGCTGGCCTCAACCAGGGCCAGGGCTTTCTCAGCCTTGGCCCCAACCTAGTGGAACTCTCTGCCGAATGACATCCGTGCCCTGTCTGATCTATTAAAGTTCCGCAGGGCATGTAAGGCAGAGATGTTCCGCCAGGCCTTGAGGTTGAGGCCAGTGATGGTTCCCTTACACCTACCTGGCACCAGTGTCCCCCTAAGCTGAGTTAGTGTAAGCTAGCACACAATTTTTTAGCCTCTGGCTCACATATTTTTGTCCTAGCTCAGGGAGGATGACTCCAGAGCAAACTAATTTATGTAGTAACCAAATCGTTCACTCACAACTTAAATGCCAGCAGCTCACAAAGTAGAATTTTTGCTCACAAGACTGCACAGCTTAGAGGGAACATTGCCTGGCACCCTCCCCTCCCCTTTCCCTTATGAAAATCTGAATGCTAAAAATCTGTATGTGAAATATGCCATCTTGTTAAAGTGCTTAAATACTTATGCTAAATGTTTTAATATGGAATTTTGTAGTTTTAACTGCTTTTAAAATTGTATTGGATTTTATGTTGTTGTAAACCACCCTGAGCCCCGCATAAGCGGGGAAGGGCAGTTAAGAAATCGAACGAAATAAATAAACAAATAAACTTCGACCCTCCCAGCAGAGCTCTGTCTGACAAGCCAAAAGACAACAACAGTCTCTCTCTTCCAAGATGCACTTTCAGAGCCTTGCAAATTATACCCAGGTTTCATGAAAACAAAGGAGGAGAGAAATCCTTTTTATCAGTATTGTTTTAGCCCAAATTTGGTGCCATAGATTTTAGTCTGATCTAAAGAATCTTTATAGATTAGTTAAGAGGCTCCAGCTATTTGAGCCCCCAACACAAGACCCTGTTTACCTACATGTATGAAGTATGGTCGAGAAAGGTGCAAATGGCTGATGAGTTCTGTAAACTTTCTAGTCTTTTATCCTGATCCTTGCCCTGCCATTGCACTTCAGAGCTGATAACTCTGTATTTGAGTTTACTCTTAGCTTACTTTAATATGTTTTATGGTGTTTCATTTAACATATGCTTGTTCACCAATCAAGATGTGATGCACAAACACACAACACTTCAGAGGATATAAATGTTATTTCTCCACTTCCTGCTTGCTCCATTTGCAATGATTCACTAATGAATTTGGCCACATATAAAAGGTAACATCCTCAGTTTCATTTGGATTGATGGTTTTTGCTTAGGCTGGTAGTATCACTCACTGGAATCATCTGGTCCTTTGTATTCTCCTTCTCCAGGGTAGTCAGCTCACTTGGTGACAGCAGAGCTAGACGTAGCTCACGTACAACTCCCTCTGCCACATCACGCACTGGACGTCCGAGCACAGCCTGCAATAGATTGGACTAGATGAACTTAAGTCATTCAGTATAAATGTTTTAAATGCATTAGTAGAATTTTAAATCCCTACTCTATTCCCTCCCCTGTACACACTCACCCCCAATGAATACTTACAGAGCCTACATGAGCCCATTCCTGAACAGCATGAATCAGCTCCACCTCATCAATAGCCAGGCAGTTGCTCTGCAAGATAGTTTGCATGGCCAATTCGGACAGCTCCAAGAAGCCACGTGTGTGCACCACCTCCTGAGGAAAAAGATGTGACTCGTCTGAAGGGTGGAGGGCACTCTTTCCATGGTTTTAAAAAATGGTAGTGGCTTTGGCCTGTTCACATGGGAGAATCATGCAAATTCCTGTCTTCCTCTTACCCGGGTACAGTTCTCGATGAAAGCCAGGCAATGTGTCTGGAGATCCATCTGCCCATATGCTACTGCTGCCTGTAATAAAGTGAGAACAAGAATTGACAAAGGCAGTGTCTGAAGACATAGCTAGGTCAAGAGAATGGATCATCCACACAAATCACAGGAAGCTGACTGAGTACAGAAAATGAGAGAAAGGGTTCCGGGCTGAGACGGGCAGAATTGGCCTATCTGATTCTGGAAAAGGATTCACTGCGTGTTGTGGAGGCTTTCCTTCCGAGCATACCCATACACTGGAAGAGCCCTGAAAGTAACTTTTTCCCCACTATAGAGAACAATGGAGGGGATGGGGGCAACCTGTTTGGGGGCCCGTAGAATTGGACCCCCTGGTTCAATGTTCCTAAAACATGACAGGTATCTTCAGGAGAGGCTCCAGCAGCTACCCTATGATTTTGAAGCCTCTCCCTCAAATCCCCTCTCCTCCAGCCCCCAGAATATACCCTATGTTTTCGCCATTGACTTCAATGGCCCATAGGATATAATGGGGCCGAACTGTGGGAAGCCGATTCAGATCAGAGAATCTGTTTTGGCCCGCAGCAGCCTGAAAGGGGCCCGAATGGGCCATTTTTGGGGGTGCATTCGGTTCAGATGAACCAAATGCATATCCCTCCAGCAGTTGGCTTGCTCATGCTCTCTACAGCCGCGGGGATCCTGAGCAAGCCAAGGGAAGGGAAGGTGGTTTAAACTGCCTCTCCTTCCCTCCAGCAGCCGGCTTGCTCGGGCTCCCCGAGCAAACCAAGGGAAGGGAAGGTGGCGGAGCAGCTGCAGACATTGAGCCTCAGCTCCACAAGTAATGAGCATTTGAGCCCTGCCCCCAGTAGCCCTCAGGCCGGAGCTCCTGGAGCAGTCTTGGGAAGCGGATTGGCAAAAAGCAAAACCAAAAGTGCAGGAACTCGAGAGAACTCCAGGAATGGAGCCGGTTCCTCTTCCACAGCCCAAAATGCGACCAGGCTTCTTTCCTCCTGCTGCCTTGGCCCTCTGGTGCACGGGTGAGTCCCCAAAGTTTGACTCTTCCTCTACAAGTCTCTGGCGCTGGAGGTATTCGCCTCCTTCCCTCCTGCCTGCTATGGCTGCATAATTGTGAGAGATTTCTTAACATAGTGTTCCTGCCAGGGAAGCTGGGGACCCTGCCCATGAGTCTCCATTTCATCCTCACAACAACCCTGTGGGGTAGGTTAGGTAGAGAAGGGGAGATTTGGCCCGGGGTCACTCAGCCAGCAGAGTGAGAATACAAACCTGGGTCTCCCCACATCAATCTGCAACTCTGACCACTGTGCAGTGCTGCCTCTACTGATCTGTAATGTTCCAGAGGTGTTGTAATGTAATACTCAGTTTCTCAAACGAGTGTATGCCTGTCTGTTGGTCCACTTAGGAGTCTTGATCCTGGTTGTGTGGTGGGCTAGTTGTGGCAAATGGTAGGGAAGTATTTCTGTATTTCTGTATACAGTTGTAGGGGCTTTATTGCAATGTGGTATGGCCTGATATTATGTTCTTATTCCAGTGTGGGGTGTGTGTGGGGCAATGGAAGCTGAGTGATAGGGTCTCTCCAAGTGATTGCCAGAAGTGAGATGTGTCCTGGTCTTGTGTCTTACAGATAATCTTACAAATAGTCCTTTGCATTTATATCATGCTTTCAACTTTAAAAGGATCATAATGCTGATTGTGTGAACTTAGGCAAATCACGAGAGGTAGAGCAGGAAGGGTTGCATCAGTGCTTAGTTCTTGTGGCCCTTTCTTACACGCCCAGGGAAATGCTGATCACCACTTTGGGGCCAGGAAGCAATTTTTCTCCAGGCCAGTTTGGCCCCCAGTGATCCTGGAGGGTTTTTTTTTTATGATATTCTGGGCGTGAAACAGGGGTCACTGGGGTGTGTGGGGGGTATTGGTGAATTTCCTGCATTGTGCAGGGGGTTGAACTAGATGACCCTGGTGGTTCCTTCCCACTCTATGAGTATGATTCTATAATTCACCCAGGCTGGCTGTGGGCACGCCAGCACCTCGATCAGGCAGAAGCGCCTGAGATCCTCCCACTCCCCTTTTCCTTTGCCCGACTTGGAGGCGAAGGGAAGGGAGAGGGGGGAAAGAATGGATCCCAGGTGCTTCTGCCTATCAGAGGGGCTGGTGCACACTTCCGGTGATTTCAGGGGGTGTGGCATATGCTAATAAGTTATGCTAATGAGCTCCTGCAGCTCTTTTTCTATGAAATGACCCCTGGATTACACCATGCTCATGGTAAACCAACAGCCTAGATTATTTACCAAATGTGATTTTGCATTCATCCGGGAGCCTCCTTATGATATGGCTTGATGGGGGAGAGGGAATATTGGCCACAGGGGCTGAGATAAGGAAAATGGTGCCACTGTGGACAGGACCTGCAAAAATGCATGCCATCTCATCCACACAGCATGGAAAGGTACATTGACTGCAGTCCTTCAAAAAAAGATTGCAGCAAAGCAGGGGAAAGCACAGAAGCTGGATGAATAGAGGACCAGGGGTCTTGTTGTAGAAAAAGAGCTGCCGGAGCTCATTAGCATAACTCATTAGCATAACTTATTTGCATATGCCACGCCCCCTGACATCACCGGAAGTGACAGAAGGCCACACCCCCTGACATCACCGGAAGTGTGTCAGAAGGCCCGGCTACTTACCCTCCTGCTTCATCCTCATTCCCAAACGGAATGAGGATCGAAGCAGAGGGCGGGGTAAAGAAGGGGGCGGGGCTTCACCACGTGACCGCCCCGCCCCCTAGAGGTTCTCTTCCGGAGCTCCGTACCTGAGAGCTCCCCCCCGACTAGAGCCCTGTAGAGGACAATGCCATGTGGATGCTCCCCAAAACAAAGCTGCTGTAAGGAAGGCAGATAAAATATTTCTGTCTGAAGAGAACATGCCACAAACAAATGAATAAACCTGAAACAAAAGGAGACTCTATTGGAGCTGAAGAAAACGGAAACTGTGATCATCAAGCATCTGGAAGAAACAACCCAGCCCAGCCCTGCTCCTTGTTCAGATTAGCAGAAGATAAGTAACCCACTAGAATGATGAGCTTACTTATCATAAGAACATAAGAGATGCCAATGTTGGATCAGGCCAAAGGCCCATCCAGTCCAACACTCTGTATCCCACAGTGGCCAGAAATACCAGTGCCATCAGGAGGTCCACCAGTGGGGCCAGGACATTAGAAGCCCTCCCACTGTTGACCCCCCCCAAGCACCAAGATGACAGAGCATCACTTGCCCCAGAGTCCCTATCTATACCTTGTGGCTAATAGCCACTGATGGACCTCTGCTCCATATGCTTATCTAATTCCCTTTTGAAGCCGTCCATGCTTGTAGCTGCCACTATTTCCTGTGGCAGTGAATTCCAAGTGTTAATCACTCTTTGGGTGAAGAAGTACTTCCTTTTATCCGTTCTAACCCGACCGCTCAGCAATTTCATGGAGTGCCCACGGGTTCTTGTATTGTGAGAAAGGGAGAAAAGTACCTCTTTCTCTACCTGCTCTTTCCCATGCATAATCTTATAAACCTCAATCATGTCACCCCTCAGTCGTCGTTTCTCCAAGCTAAAGAGCCCTAAGCGCCTTAACCTTTCCTCATAGGGAAAGTGTTCCAACCCTTTTATCATTCGAGTTGCTCTTTTCTGCACTTTTTCCAAAGCTATAATATCCTTTTTAAGGTGTGGTGACCAGAATTGCACACAGTATTCCAGATGAGGTCGCACCATTGATTTATATAGCGGCATTATGATATTGGCTGATCTGTTTACAATACCCTTCCTAATAATCCCCAGCATAGCATTGGCCTTCTTTATTGCAGTCACACACTGTCTCGACATTTTCAGTGAGTTATCTACCACAACTCCAAGATCTCTCTCTTGATCAGTCTCTGCCAGTTCAGACCCCATCAACGTGTATTTATATTTAGGATTTTTGGCTCCAATGTGCATCACCTTGCACTTGGCCACATTGAACCCCATTTGCCATCTTGACGCCCACTCGCCCATCTTTGACAGATCCCTTTGGAGTGCCTCACAATCCTCACTGGTTTTCACCACTCTGAACAACTTCGTATCATCCGCAAATTTAGCCACTTCACTGCTTACTCCCATCTCCAAATCATTAATGAACAAGTTAAAAAGCAGTGGACCAAGTACTGATCCCTGTGGTACCCCACTGCTTACCCCCCTCCACTGGGAGAACTGCCCATTTATACTCACTCTCTGTTTTCTATTAATTAGCCAGTTTTTGATCCATAAAAGGACTTGTCCTTTTATCCCATGATTTTAGACTTGTCCTTTTATCCCATGATTTTTGAGCTTATCATGTAACTATCCTACTGAACTCACAATCAGGTTGGAGAATCAATGACAAAAGAGAGGTCTGTTCTTCCTTTTCAAGTCTTGTTCATAGGTGAAGTGGGACTTCTAATCCTCATTTAGTGATTCTGTCATGAGACACATGACTGGTTCTCTCAGTCTCTTTCATAACATTCAGTTAAATACAATGCATGATCTGATGTGATCACATCTACCACTGCCTGGTCTCCATATCATGTCACTCACTGTCAGGGTGAGGACAAGGCAACCTATAACATGATCCCATCACACTTATGTATTGTGTTCAACTTGACAGTATGATAAATATTGGGCAGGGGAACACAGTAGTAACTATCCCATGTCTCTAGTTAGACATTCTGTGTGGAAAGGGGTGATGAATGATTCCTGATTAATTAACAGAATTAAAAGGTGTGAAGTTGTACATGTGGTTTAAAATATAGGCTCAGGTCTCAATGTTGTTTGCTGCAGGGTTTTGTTTTTTTTTAATCACATGAACATTCACATACTCAAAAGGCTGCCTAAAGGCAGAGCATGCAGATATTCTCCAAGTAATCAAGCAAGACATTGGTAATACTTGCCCTTCATATCACTGTCAAAAAATTCCCAGGATCAGCATCCTCCAGAGTGTCAGCAGAACCATCTGAGGATTCAACGCTGAGGACTTCCTGAGGGAGTGTGAATATGGT